AAAAAGTAATTGACCAAATTTCCAGGATGGTAAACCACAAGTTACTACTGCAGCTATTAAAATTCTTGATATTTTGATGAAGTATCCTATTAGCAGAGTCAACACAACATCAAAAGACAATCATATTAATATGGGTAACCAAATCTCTTTTATTTTCTCCTGACGAAAAAACAACATAATTTGTACTCATATCTTTTATTTCACCACCTTTTCCAACCCAGAGGTAACATCTTGCTATGTACACAGTTTGAGTCACAGTGACCTCTGATGTTTTGAAAACTGGATTACTGCGTACATTGAAAGTTTACGATATATTTTTATTTGTATAAACATTTTTACAAGCTTCTGTTATTATTTTTTTAATTAGCAATTTCCATACTGATACAGAATTCTGTAAGAAAGCAACTAGAAAACTGAAAGAAAGAAACTATAACTATGACAGTTGTCTTGCTATGCAAGGTGTGATACAATGCATGTACACAGGTCAAGAACAAATCTATTTACATAGTTAAAATTTAAGTTAACTAGACATGAAAGACATTTGACCACAGACAAGGCATGTCTTATGGCCTTATCTCATAGTTGTGGGACAACTACTAGTTAGGCAAAGGCCTCAATTTTTCTTTGTGGCACTTCCACTTTCTTTGGCATTTCCTTGGCCATAAGAAGTATAACAATAAATGAATAAAGTCAGTCGATGAAACCAACAATAAACTCGAAAAGCACAGGAAAAAACTCAATTGAACATAGGCAATGCCAAGGAAAGAATGCACCTAACATAACAGGTTAGTGCTTACAGAAATTACTGCACACAGAGGTTGTGTCACCCTTCTATGATGATTTCATCACAGGCTGGCACAATATACACAGTCACACGTAAGGGTGGAAGTTCATTCAAAGCTTGTGGCTTGCGTAACAAAATTTCTAACATCAGTTCCATGAGTAAAATCTAAAAATCAGTGCTGAGTAACCTATTGAAAACTTCCTTTGTGATGCCAACAGGAGCTAATAATTAAACACTTTCTGTGTGATAGTAGTAGGAGCTTTTAATTGAAAATTTCCTATGATAGTAATAGGAGCTTTTAATTATTCTATTTGAGGTTGATGTAACGGAAGTAGCTGTTAATTTTACCCTCCTAACTAGTTTATCTTAAGAGTTTGGACCAATGTTAGAAAATTTCTGTTCCAGCTTAGCAGAATGTCTAAAATGTCATAGAGAGCAGGTGATGTGATATACTTATTGTTACCATTAAATCTCATCAGGACTAAATTCGTTTAAAAAATTTATATTATCATGCAAAATTATGTTCGAAAGGTGGTATACAGATTCATATAGACATATACATGAAAGAAAAAATTTACATATTGAAGAACCTTGTACAATCCAAATGTGAAGTTAAAGCACTGTCAGTTGTTTGATTTATAAGATAATGGCAGCTAATGTTTTCTCACTTGTATAAGCATGAAGAATCTAATAGAAAATTTTCAAAGTTTAACATTTATCAGGCTCACTCTTTGTTTTATGTGCACTGTCAGTTGTTTGATTTATAAGATAATGGCAGCTAATGTTTTCTCACTTGTATAAGCATGAAGAATCTAATAGAAAATTTTCAAAGTTTAATATTTATCAGGCTCACTCTTTGTTCTATGTGTACTGTCAGTTGTTTGATTTTATAAGATAATGGCAGCTAATGTTTTCTCACTTGTATAAGCATGAAGAATCTAATAGAAAATTTTCAAAGTTTAACATTTATCAGGCTCACTCTTTGTTTTATGTGCACTGTCAGTTGTTTGATTTATAAGATAATGGCAGCTAATGTTTTCTCACTTGTATAAGCATGAAGAATGTAATAGAAAATTTTCAAAGTTTAATATTTATCAGGCTCACTTTTTGTACTATGTGCAAGTTCTCTTAGATTTGTTCACTTCCATTTCATATTCTTCTTCATAGCTGTGTAAAGACAGGAACACCACCAGAAATACATAATTGGTGAAGTTGAGCAGTGAAGTAAGGCAGCAGCACTAACATACTGTGCACTACATACATGTATGCCTTTAGCAGGACAGAGAGTTTTGTAACTTGAAGAAAGATTCTAATATGTAATTGCTAATTCAGTGGAAAGTCATTAATTTTGGATAACAAATAGACCACAAACAGCATGTAAAAAGTACTTGTAAATAATTTACATTCTGCTATCTGGAAAAACAGGGAATTACAATAGAAATCTTACTGGTAACAAAAAGAGTACCTCAGAACAGAATATTCTTAAAATTTACAAAGTATTTGTCAGATTACTCTGAGTGTAACAGCTCTACTTGGCTAAATGTAGTGAAAGATTCTGAAATGAACCTGTAATGTCAGTAAATTAGTTATATCATTTGTCTTGATAATACAATGTGCGTGTTTGTTTACATGTGTGTGTGTATATATATAGAAGAATTAGCTCCCCTTTCAAACATTGGTTTTGGGTACATGATGGTTAGTATATTTGGACTATAAGCTCTTTAAGTATACTGCAAATTGAAACTTTATTTCTAGCAGTTTGAAAAAATCAGCCTCTTTAAACATGTACTTTCATGGGCAGTGACTGGAAGAGTTCACTAATTTTAGTTTAGTGAGACTATACATGTTAGAGCTGAAATAATGCCATGGATGAATCAACACCACCAGAGAAAGCAATCTGTTGTAATGACAGCTAAAAGAGGTCTGAAGTATTTGACCTATCCAGGCATTGCATATAATTAATGACACAGATGAATACACTTCCATTGCAAGTGTGCAATCAAGTAAACAGCATACACAGTGAAAGAGCCCTGGGAATCCATGTATGCCTTTGACTAGTGGGTGAGATGCATTAAGGTTTGATCATGGGTGCTCTGACATGCAAAACCCATAATGTTAGTTCTGTCCTAAACTGAAGCATCTATTTTAATACACTTCTTATGTTATGAGGTTCTTATAGTAGTTACACACTTTTATACTGGGTGTGACAAAATTCCCTACCTTGACTAGTTGCTAAAACATTGTAGCCTAAAACTGTTAGCCTAACAATCTGTTAAAGAAACACTAGATTACACTTAGAACTTCTTTCAGTAAATTAGTTCAATAAGCTGTGAAATATTTAGTCTGCTTTTTCTGGGAAAATATTTACATTTCTGTTACATTTCTGAAAACAGACAAGTGTATCTGGGTTAGAGCAACAACATAACTCAAAACTAAATTTGGTATTAGACATTTATTTATTGGAATTTTATATATGTATGTAAAATGTATATTTGTGGCTTTGGACAAAAACAAAATCTTGAAAAAGAAGTTAAAATTAGGATATATGCATACTTACCTATACACTAAAGTTATTAATTTGATTGGTATTTTGTAACCCTCTCCAGACTAGAAAGGTGTCACTGATATCCATTGATTTTTTTCCTTCAGATAATAGAAATACTTAACCAAATGTTATCAAACTTGTACAAACTTACTAAATAGTACACGTCTTCCAGTGGGGTAATCATAAGTTTCTGGACTTGCAGTGCTAAAATCCAGAGTTTGATTCCCCATGGTGGATAGAATGCAGATAGCCCACTGTGTAGCTTCGTGTTAAAAAAACAACAAATAAATTCCATCTGGTTTTTGGTTTTAAACAAATGTTATAAATTTATTTACTTCTATCATTTTCTACATCACGAGATTTTGCAAATTTTATAGTGGTAAAAGCATTAAAATACTTCCTTTAGTCTTATAATTTGAATAATTTTTTGTTGTTGTTGTTCAGAAAGCTCAGTTTTATATATCAGGTTAGTTTCAACTTGATTCACATTAATTATATTATTTGCTGTGATACTTAATTTTGCCAACTGCAGTAATCACCATTTCTGACTATAGATCGTACATCCAAAGACACAAAATCTGGCAAAGATTTACCAGTGACCTATGTCTTGACAGCATTGACTGTTGTGTCACTATTACCTTTGTTAGACTAGTTAACAATATTCTTGGTCAAGATCATAATAAATATAGTTTGTTTTTAATAAACAATAAGCTCTTATGTGTGTCCAGAGCAAAACAACAGTAAATTCTGAAAGTTTATAATGCTACAAACCGGGTTTCTGTGCTCATGGTGGGGTTAGCACAGATAGTCCATTGTGTAATTTTGTGCTTAACAACAACAACAAAAAACAAATAAACAAAACAATTATATACATTGTTTGAATACATTAAACTTAGCAATAATATTTAGTTAATAAAGATTTGAGTCCTTGTAATATTTTGCTGTTGCCTACCATACTTATTTGACCAAATTGATGTTGTAAAGAAAATTTCTGTAGCTTCCAAACAGATAATTTAACACGAAACCATTTTCAGGAATGAAAATGATATCTAAAGAAACTATAAAAAATTGAAAGTATGTATAGAAAATGAGTGAAAAAGAAATCCTCCAAATGATTGATGAGATTTGAAATACAGTTGTAGAATTAATGTTTTATCTGTTATGAATATAAATAGTGTTATTGTTTTTATCCTAAATATACCAGAAATGATTGAAAGTGCATAGACTATATGTATACACCATGTAATGAAAGAGGAAACGAGAAATCCCATCAGTACCTCTGTTAGTCATCTCCATTTACTATATATTTACTTAATCACTGGAGCTATAAAATCTGTGCATTTTAAATGCAAAGTAACTTTTTCTTTACACATCCCAAATCATTCCAAGTTGATTAAACCGTACTTAACGGGTCCAAATGCAAAAGCCTAGGAGAAGTTAGAGAACAAACAAACTTCTCTCAAATTATAATGGAATTTCCACATTTTTCTATGAATATATTTCATACAGCTTTAGTTTAATAGTATATATTCCTCATGTTATTTGGATTACTGTCATTATTTCCGGTTTATTTCTATTTGTGGGTTTTATTAATACTCGTATTTTATTAAGTGAATGTTGCATTTAATTTGTAATACTAATGTTTTATTATTTACTCTCTTTGATCTTTAGGTGGCCTTTTTGGTGCTCTGTTCAATTATTTAAATCATAAACTCACTGTTTTCCGACTTCGGTAAGTCCTCCTTCAGTTTTTAGGTAAATAATATCTCTAACCTTTGATACATTTGCTTATAGTCTCTTTTATCAAAATGGTGCTTAAAAGTCCAGCAAAAAGAAACATTAAGATGTTGTTATTACTGTAACAGACTTCACTTTCATTTAAGAATGGTTGGGTATATTAGAACTGGAAGTACACAATATATGTGAGTGTTTAACTTATAGAATGTAGTGGGTGTGAAATGCATCATAGGATCTTACCTTGTTTATCCTTGTCTTTAATTATTGACTGTTGGTCATTTTTATTGGGACTATGATGTATGTTCTTTGGTGTACAAACAAATAGTATGACAAATTAAAAAGAAGGCATAACTTCAGTAGGCTACAAATTAGCCTAGTTCTGAATATAATTACAAACTTGTCCTAAATAAATCATTGTCATGGTCGCCTAAGCAATTTGTGTATCAAGAAACATGATCTGCTAATTGTGATATACTTTTGTACTTTCAAGCATTTTGTCATTTCATTTCTTTACTGGATTTATGTTGACCACAGTGACATTAGGCATTTTTTACTATTCTTCTTAAACATGATCATGATGTTCCTTAAGTTTATATCATCTTTTTCAGATTAATTTAACTCTCTCAACATGAGAATCTTTATAGATTTAATATAACTTTCAATACAGTATGTATATCTTCACAAAATTTGGCAGTCTTTCAGTTAATATTATAAGTCTTTCACATACAAAAATCATATTTTTAGTGAAGTATTTTGAATAAAATAAAATAAAGATTTGTCTATGAATATATTGAGTATTTG